AAATAAACTCATCCTGCTCTTGCTCCAGGAACTTCAGCGCTATCTGGTGACAGTGGCCTATGATACAACATTGACTGAAAACTCATATTCTTCATGCGTGACATTTTTTGTTTCTTGTCATTTTCTTCTATCTTTGGACTTACTCCTTAATCGAAATTCCACTCCTCTACAAAGGCCCTCTCACCCCACCCAATCTGAACTCAGGGATCATTCACGTGACAGTGTCATTCAGGGATCACTGTGCCCACCTGGACAGAGGACACCTAAGAGCAGCAAGGGGGGTGATGTAGAAATCAAGCAGTTTTACAAAGGTCCTTTTCTCTCCCTGCCTCCTACCTTCATCCTCTCTGCCTCTGCGACCCTGTTGTAGGTTCATCTTTCCATGAATTCCTCTGTGTGTGTGTTTCTGTCTGTCTGTCTCTCTCTCTCTCTCTCTCTCATTTTTACATTGACTTGTTTTAATTTTTTTAAATGACAGCTTACATTCAATATTATTTTGCAGCAGTTTCAGGTGCACAGCATATTGGTTAGATAATCATCTACTTTACAAAGTGTCCCCCCTGATATTTCCAGCACCTACCCGGCCCCATCCATAGTTATTACATTACCGACTATATTCCCTCTGCTGTACTTTACGTCTCCATGTTTCCAACTGCCAGTCTCTACCTCTCAATTCCTCACTTTTTCACCCAGTTCCTTAAACCTCCTCCCCTCTGGCAACCATCAGTCTGTCCTCTGTGTCTATATGAGTCTGTTTCCGTTTTGTTTGTTCATTTCTTTCTTTCTTTAGATTCCACACATAAGTGAGATCATATGTCTTTCTCTGGGCGCCTTTTTTCACTTAACACCCCCGAGATCCAGCCTTGCTGTCGTGATGGCGGCATTCCTGATGCCCTGAGGCTGGAGACTCTGCTCCTGGCTGATGCCTGAGGAACCCACAGCAGGCACGAATGTCGGGGGGAGGAAGAAAAATCAGGACCCTCGTACACATTCCCATACTGCTCTGGTGGGACTTCGAGGCAGTTTTGCGCTATGACCACGCGGATGGCATCAGATAATAATGACAATTTGTTAAATAAATAAAAATTTAAAAACCCAAACTCAGAGATAATGAAGAACAAATTGGAACTTGCCAGAGGTGGGGCATGGGGTGAAGGTGGCCAAAGGTATAAACTCCTAGTTATAAGAAAAAGAAAACCTTGTCAAAATCAGTGTTTCCTGAATGTGTCCCAGGGACAGCTAGACTAATAAATTAAATTTTGTAAAAAGTGTGAAACATTTGGCAAGTTCCACATGCCTTATCTCCTTCTTGGGAAGGTATAACAAACATCAGGATGGGAGGGCCCATAATGAAAGAGCTTCTTGAACTCTGGATAACTCAATCGTGTGGCCTCAGAAGTATCCCCAAGTCTCTCCTCCCCAACGTCTCTTGACATTTCATTAAACAGTTGTTCTGTCTCAAAACAGGAAGAGAGAGAGAGAGAGAGAGAGAAAGAAAGAAAGAAAGAAAGAAAGAAAGAAAGAAAGAAAGAAAGAAAGAAAGAAAGAAAGAAAGAAAGAAAGAATCTGAAATTTAATGGACAGTATGATGACTATAGCTAATGATAACACTACATGGTATATTTGAAAGTTGCTAAGAGAGTACATCTTAAAAGTTCTCATTATAAGAAAATTATAACTCTGTGGTTATGGATGTTAACTAAGTTTATTGTGGCAATTGAGGCAAGGGAGTAGGAAGCTGGAAAAATTCCCTGGCGAGGGGGATGGGGAAACTGAGACAAGCAGCTAAACAAACTGGCCAGGCAGTGCACAGCCAGACACAGGTCACCATGGTGAAAGGCCCCAGGTGCTTAGCAAGGGGCAAAACTGTGTCCGACCTCACCCCCAGGGTGGCCAGTCCTTGCCTGGAATATTGCTGGTCACCTGGCATAGAGCCCCTGACCTTTTATATCCTGGGTCATGCGGTTCCATTTTGCAGTGTATACATACAGCAAACCTTTGTGTGTGGTTACCTAAAACTAATGCAACGTTATATATCTACCTTGACCTTTCCTCCCCGGAGATAACATTTAGGCCTCAGCTGTTAGTTCAACTCCAGGAGAAGAAAAGCAGCAAAATCAAGTGGGCAACGCCAGGACCAGCAGTGATGATTCGTGACCGCCTCCCCACCCCCGGCTGACCATGACCCTGAAAGGACACACCTGGGAGAGCTGATGCAGACTCTATTGGGATCTCCCCTGAGACCTGCCCTAAAATCCCCACCTTTGGAAAGCTCATAAAACCCCTCAAGACAAAGAGGCCAGCTTTTCACTCTCCTTGGGGGGCACACCCACTCCAATCTCTTGTTAGAGTGAATTTCCCTTCTCTTACACTTGAGACCTGAAACAAGGGGAGCAGTGGGCAGCTGCAGCTCATCCTGGGCTAATCCCCCTGAACCTGTCTAAGTCCCCCTTTCCTCTGACGTCCCAGCGAGTTAACAGCAGCCCTGCCTTGGCTCACCTCTTTCGTATAACATTTCTAGAGAGCAAAGCAGCCCTGCCTAGGCTCTTGCCTGCTGTTTCTTCTATGCTAAGCCCTTCCTTCCCTCACTGCCCTTAGCTTTAAAAAACGTACTCTCAAAATCACCTGGACTCGTGTTGTGAAATCTTCCCTACACTAAGTCGGGAACCCACACACCGCAGCTGACCTTGCCCCTCCGGTGACAACAACCATTTTGCAGTGTATACATACAGCAAACCTTTGTGTGTGGTTACCTAAAACTAATGCAACGTTATATATCAGCTATATCTCAATTTTTTTAAAGAACGTAAACAAAGAAATTTGTACGCAAGAGCTCATATGAGCATAATTCACAATGTCCAAAATGTGGACACAACAAAAATGTCCATTGATTCATAAATGGTTAAAAAATTGTGTTATGTCCTACAAAGGAAATTTATTTGGTCATAAAAAGAAAGGGATCACTAATACATGCTAAAACCTGGTGGACCTTGAAAATATACTAAATGAAAGCAGCCTGATCCAAAAAGCCACATACTATCCAATTCGTATAAATGAATTCATAGATTTGGGAGAACTGTGTGTGGGGTTTCTGGGAAGAGTGACAAAACTGTCCTGGAATTAGATCATGGTGATGCTTGCACAACCTTGCAAAAAACAGTGAGTCGTACATTTTTTAAAGGCAAGCCTTATGCTATATGAACAGAATAAATTAATGAATGAATTCATAGATTTGGGAGAAGAACTGTGTGTGGGGTTTCTGGGAAGAGTGATAAAACTGTGCTGGAATTAGATTGTGGTGATGCTTGCACAAGCTTGCAAAAAACAGTGAGTCGTACATTTTTTAAAGGCAAGCCTTATGCTATGTGAGCAATGTCTTGAAAAGTCAGTCCACAGAACAGACATCACTACCCCCATGGGATGTGAGCCAGAGGCCCAGAACAGCAGCCTCTGGCCACAGCCAGGCCTCGGGCACAGTGTGCTTTGGGAAAAAACAATTTCCTTTTTCATTCCCTTCCCTCTCAAAGTCATTCATTTCTACTGAACCCCAGCTGGACAGAGCTGTGTGGGGAATGGGAGGGTTAGGCACAATTTGATCCTCTCTCTGAGCCCAGAGGGGTCACTCCATTCCATTCAGCACACATTGCTCATGGTTGCCTCCAGCTGGAACCCTAAAAGGGCGACTGAAAACTAGGCCTTGTCTCCTGGTAACTATGGGGCCCAAAGGAGAAGTGGGGGCTTAGTATTTGACACGTGCCTGGCCTTTTCAGATTCTGTGTGAAGACATTTTCTCTATTGTGAGTGCCAAAGAAAAGAGTTTTCTTTACGGAAACACAAGGCAATACCTCGTTTGAAGCCCCAGGTCTGTTCAACATAGTGTGGGTAGTGGATACACATGCCATTCCTGAGCCAGATTACCTGCCTAGGTATCTCACCTGGGCAGGTCACCACCCATAAAAACCTGCGCTTCTGTTCAACTGCTCTGTGCCTCAGTGCTATCATCTGTGAAATGGGTATTACAAAGAGACCTGCCTCCATGGGTTATCAAAGGCCTAAGGGGGAAAATACATAACACAGCTCATACACATCAACAATTTTTAATATGATCCTGCTTCTGAGAACACCATACCCACAAAGACAATAAGGCTCCGGCGACAACAAAATTAACCATGTCATCCAATGAATAGGTTTTTCTCCGTTTCTTAGATAGGCAGGGGACTCCATTCTCCAGCCCATGGATCTGGAGCTGGTGTGCTAAAGGGCAGGGTGACAGAGAAGTGTCATGATTCTGGAGGCTGAAGCAACTTGTTTTTCTTTCATGACTGTATCAGAAATAGCACATAAAATGGTCCATTGGTATCAGTGGTTGTTGTCATTGGGAGTGCGCTAACCCTGCAAGGTCACTGAGTTTCCCACTAACCTGGGAAAAGAGGAGAAACTTGGAATGAAATTTGGGGGGGCACAGGAAGCTAAAGCCTTCAGGGGAAGGAAGAGCATTGCTGCCCTCCACATATTGCTCAACACCTTGTCAGAATTCGAGCTGTTCCTCCGTTATGCAGAACAACTGCCAAGGGAAGAGCTGGGTTGCCCAAGCCCTTTCACAACTTCAACTTGCAAATGTAAGTTTTTGGTTGTTTGGTGTTTGAAATGGGCCTGAAAGAATTCACCACCAACAGGAGAAAGGGGTTTTATAAGGGTTAGTTCTGAGTGGGTGTAGCTGGGGGAAGGTAAAGAAGCTGGGACTTGAACTTTATTCTCATTGGTATCAGCAAGGCTGATATGTATGCGTGTCCTATGATCAAGGCTGACATGTGTGCATGTCCTAATCCAGAAGTGTCCATGACTGCAGGCCCACAAAAAGGAAGTAGGATAGAACAGTGATCGTGTCTTTACTCAGAAAGATTTCATACTCGTGCCTAAGAGCTGCTCTGGTTGAGAAACCAGTGTTGGGTTATTTGCAATAGCAACTATTCAAAGGCGGGGCAGGAGAGGTATATATATATTCAGGATCTCATCCTTCACCACAAACAGACTCCCTGCCCACCTCCTTTCTCCAGGAACACAGGTAAGTGCTCCAGCTTAACAACACAAGTTGTTTGGGGAAATAATAGCAATCATGTGTTTTCTTATTATGCATGCACTGAAATATTTCATTCTGGATGAGGGGATTTTACTTCTGCCAGGGAAAAATGCCAACACCTTCTTCATCTTGATTTGCCCTTTAACAAATGTATTTCCCAGTAAAACAAACATGCTCTTCGGAGCATTTGTGGAGAGTGGCAACCACATAGCCTCGAAAGAAAAGGCAGAGAGGTGCCTCGGGAGAGCTGCCTGGATGTTGTCCACATGGACCATGACTTTGTCCATATGGACCATGACCTTGGCCCCCATTATGAAGCCTTTTCTACACAGACACAGTGTAGCCAATTACAAAGGAAAGATAAAGATGTTCTCTTACTTTCTCACAAAACGCTCAAAGTAATCATTGTGCTAGTCTTCTAATTATGAAATTAATACATGTACTTTATACAAGGTGTGAGAAGTAAAAAGAGCAACTTGAGTTGCCAGAATCCTAAAACCCAAATATAAGTCATTTCTTTAAGAAAAAATTCATCACACATGGAAACCCTCTGTTTGGTGAAGTCACTCTATAATAAATCTGCTGCTTTTCCCAGGAGCGCCGGTTCACACCAACACCACCATGACATCCCTCAGTGAAGCAAATACCCGCTTTGCATATGACCTGTTCCAACAGCTGAGAAAATCAGAGAAGGAAAATATCTTCTATTCTCCACTCAGTGTCTCAGCAGCCATAGCCATGACTTACTTAGGGGCCCAAGAAAACACTGCATCAGAAATTCAGAAGGTATGTGTCAGCTTTCTCCACGCTGTTGGCTTGTGCACAGAGATGGCCACAGGTCTGGCTGTCCCCATGAGTAGCACAGGAGCAGCAAGTATTCCCATGACTGGTCCAACTGCTTCCTTATGCCCAGACTTCCTCTGGGAGCTGGGATGAGACCCCTACCATTGCCCAACAATCGGAGGTGAGGCTTAAATGGATAATTATGGGTAGAATGGATGCATTGACTCAAATCCATGGGAAACATCATCACATGTGTCTTCAGCAATGAATGAATGTGAATTGGATTCTTTGAAGTGGTTGTTTATAACCCAGCTTGGTTGCATTTTCTCAAGGAGCAAACTCTTACACTAACATTTTCTTTATTCTTTTTTCTTGGTTTGTTTTGGGGGTTGTTTTATTTTTTAGTTCAGAGTTTAGTTTTTGTTTTCTTCTCTTCATTTCCTCTGATGTAGACAGATCGCTTGAGTAAAGTTTTATTGTCCCACTTGCTGTCTGTTCCAGGTTCTTCACTTTAATGAAGTCACAGAGGACGCAAAAGGAGGAGCCACAACGGCTCATGTGAGTCACTCAGCACTTGGGTCTAGAAGGAGCATGAACTATCCAAGAGCATCATTGTTTAAACTGGGAATTTCACATCAACTGTCAAAAATCCATTTTTAGGGGAAACCTTGGGAAAACAGACTGGACAAGCAGCATTGCTTTTTATTTCATATTACATATTTATTTATTTCATATTTTTGATTTCCTGAGGGGTGATTAAGAGCATAGGTTCTGCAACCAAAGTATGAAATGCCAGCCTTGCATTTCTGCTCTGCTCCTCACACCTGGTGGCTGTTGGCAAAGTGCAACTACTCTGAGCCATGAATTGAGCAGCAATAAAAGATCTGCCTCTATTCATGAAAATATATTCAAAACATTGCAACAACACCTGAAGGATAAGAAACCTTGGTAGAAATGTGTTATTACTATTATAGAATAACAATTCTAGTAATCACAATAACATCGCTAAAAATAACAATTTTAATTAACTCATAAACGGGATTAAGAAAATAAAGGTACATCCGAGTATTTTTGGGAAATGATTGCATGAGATATATGGCTCATAGCCCTATTAGTTTAAAGCTCTAAACTAGCAAATAGAAGGTTCTGGATTCAGATAAGCCTAGTTTCAAAAATTGGCTCTGTGACATTACGTCTCCTTAGAGAAGTTATTTAACTCTCTGTGCTTCTTGTTTTCAGCTGAATTAGACTAAAGACTCAGAGACAGTTAAAGCCCTTAGTCATGTACCAGGCACACACCATTCCAGTCTTGGGCTATGACCATTATGAGCCGAGAGCATAGACCACAGTCAATGGGTCTTAGGAGCTAATACTGCCAAGCAGTGTAATAGGGCTTTATGTTAGAGCATATCAGCACAAGGTTAGCATTCCCATACCACTGAGGGCTATTAGAAATGGCATACAGTCTAGTCCTTAAGGAGCTCGGGTTTAGCTGGAAAGCTGAGCTGAACCACTGAACCCATCAAAACACAGCCCCATGGTGAAATGGTCCTGCCTCTGTAGTTCGAGGGAGAAAAGAGGCAGAAGAAAAAAATTCCAAATGATTAAATGGAAGGATTAGGAAGGATATTTGAGGTACCATACACTGAATATCAGAGGATAACAACCTAGTCACCCCTGGGGCTGTCAAACGTTAGCTATGGCTCTAACAGAGTTAAGTACATGGGTTTAGTACTTGGATTGACAGAGAATTCAGCATGCTCACTTTTTGATGTTTGAAGGTTATAAAGTCGGGGAATGTGCACCAGCAATTTCAAAAGCTTCTGACTGAACTAAATAAACCCACTAATGCCTATGAGCTACACCTGGCCAACAGGCTCTTCGCAGCAAAGAAGTTCTCGTTTCTTCAGGTAAGTTTCACGGGTCCGCCGCAACTCTCATCTGTGTCTTGGGTCCCTGTCCCCAAAACTGGGGACACTGAGTCCCTTGAGCTTGGCTGATCCCCCGGGCATCATTTACTCAGGGTATGTGTGGACCCTCACCACAGACGGCCCTGTCCCCCAGAGTGTCCCCGAGCCTGACAACTTGCCAGTAGAGTGTGGGTTCAGGGGTGAATTTATGTACTGTGTTTGGTCATGATTACACATAATTCAATTTGGGGATGCACAGTTCCTGATAAGTTAATCCCCCCTTTCTTCCTTCCCACATCAAAGGAATACATGGACCATGTTAACACATTTTACTTAGCCGGTATGGAAACTGTTGATTTTGTAAATGCTGCAGATGAAAGCCGAAAGAAGATTAATTCCTGGACGGAAAGCCAAACAAAAGGTACAGTATGAGAGGGTCACCCATGAAAAGCCACTCTGCATCTCCACTCAGGGTACATGAACCGTGTACCTGGCACTACGTGGGGTACCAAGATGGGGGGGTCCAGTGAGTTCACAGAGAGGCTGCAGGAGGGCACTGCAGATGGTGGGATGGTCCAAGTTCATGTGGAGAGAAACGAGGCGACCCAAGAGAGCCCATAGGACCAGCTACGTGGAAATACAGCTGGAGACTGACAGCTGGAGATCTTCGTGGTCTCCAGGTCTCTGCTCGGGTCCCATCTTGGGTTCATATCTATTACTTCAAAGCCAGAAGCTTAACTTCTGGATTATGATCCTTAAGGGAAAATATTAGAAAGGGAGCCCTCGTCCTTTGTTAACTGGAAAACAAAAGGCTCTCCCATAAGTTTCCTTTTGCCGCCTGCCTAGCCCACTTGGCCTCCCCCACTGTTTCTTCCCCGACCCCAGCAGAGAGCTTGACAAGGGCTCCATCCTATGAACCCTGTCCTCCATGCCACCTGCAGTCAAGGCTAAACCTGCAGCAATACAACATGGCAAAGGAAGGGGACCAGCAGGGGATGGTGGCTGATGTCCAGAGCATGTGTTTGAGATTACCAAGCTCATGCCCTTCGTCCTAAAGAACATTCAAGCCCTACTTCCTCTGAGTGGTGAGCTGAAATTTGAAAAAATAGAAAGGAAGGCAGAAAGAAAAGGAGAAGAACAGAATGGGAAGGTGGAGGAAAGGACAGAGGAAGAAAAGGAAAAGGGAAGGAAGGCAGGCAACGTCTGTGCAGCTCAAACCAACTCACCGGTATTCAGTGTGAGAAGACCGAAGGTGCCTGCAGAGACCCTGAGCACCTTCCGAATCATCAGAAGGGGCGTTGTCTCCTCCATGGGGAAGACCCCATCAGGCTGGGGCCATGAGGAGAGGGGTACCTTGTGGTCTTTGGCCACGGAATCCTGGACGTGGCGACTTGTGTATATAACTAATGACCACTTTAACTTTCAAAACCTCTTCCAGATAAATCACGTGTACTTTTCATGACAGACCTTTGTTTTTCTTTCTTTTGTAGAAAAAATCAAGAACCTCTTTCCTGAAGATTCTATTAACAGCGCCACTGTTTTAGTTCTGGTGAATGCCATCTATTTCAAAGGGCAGTGGAATGAAAAATTTGATCCAAAATTAACTGAGCAGGGTGAATTTTGGCTGAACAAGGTATTGCCTGTTATTTATTTCTAGAACAAAACATAGCTCTCCATGGCATGTTCCATTTCAACACATATTTGATTAATGTACAGCTGCAGGTAGAAAATAGAATTTGTCACAGCTGGCTTTTGTTTTTACTTTATTTAGCGAGGAACACTTAAAAAAACTCACCTCTCCAATTCACAAGTGTGCCAGGTTATCTCTTAGAAAAGGATGATTTTGGTATCTCAATACTATGATTTCTTCTTCTTTAACTGACGTCTCCCTTGGCATTTATTCGCCACATTCACTCACGGCAGGACACAAGCAAGCCTGTGCAGATGATGAAGCGAGGCGGTCACTTTAAATTCTCCAAGCTGGAGGACCTGCCAGCTAAGATCTTGGAGATACCATACAAAGACAAAGACCTGAGCATGGTGTTGCTGCTGCCCAATGAAAGAGATGGTCTTCAGCAGGTAAGATCTGGTGCCTTCCATTCTTCCTTCTATCGCCCACCATCCTAGTAGGACGGCACTCGTGTGGGCTGTTCGTGGAGGCCGTGCCCACAGCTCGTGGGTGGTGTCCAGCGGGGCTCAAGAACTGTTACACTGTTTCTTTTCAGCATACAGCCCAAGGAGGACCTGGCATTCTGTCATGTCCCAAAGTAAAAAACAAATGAATAAATATCTAAAGTATCACTCCGTGATGTGGAGGAAGGTAATAGAAAGTTTCGCATCACAGATCCTGTTCATGTTCCGATGAAACCATGAGTGTTAGTTCAGAAAAATACATATATGCATTCTTTGGCACACAGACAGACTATTTCATAACCATGAGAAGCACTGTTGTGTTCCAGTTTGTCCATGTGAAGACCCAGAAACTAAGACTTTGATGCAGGGAACGCGTAGAGAATATATGCAAGTGCCCATAAACAAAAGCAAGCAAAGCAAAGCACCAGCGGGTACCATTTTGCATCCTGAACCACAGTGGGTTCGTGGGCCAGAGACAAGGAGGTTTATCTTGATGTTCGCTTCTCAGTTTAGGAGTGGTCTACCCCTAGGAGGAGCTCAATGTCATTTGGAGTCTCGTTCTTGTGAGGGGGAAAAAAAAGGGTATTTTTCTCTTAGCATTTTTAGGATGATTTAAGAGAATGTGTAAAAATATTAGTAGCAACATCTGGTGTATGGAGGACATTCCAAAAACGGCCACCTGCAATTACTACAATAGCCAATGATGCTGCTGACATTGCAGCCAATGCGCCACACTCAAAATATAACATATCATGTGGTGACACTGGCCAGGGGAAGCCCGCAGGGACCGCCCTGTGGGGGGACATGTGAACAGCTGTAACAATCGTGGGGCCCCCACTCACAATCTTCCTCGCTAGTGACATCAGGAACCCTGTCCTGGGATCCATCCCGCGCTGACGAATCCAAACAAGGCAAAAGCTTTGGGATTAAAGTAGCTCAAAATAATGAAAAAATCAAAACAAGAAACAATGGCATGTCTTCGCATTGCCAATAGTTTAGCTCAGGACTGGCACATAGTGATTGCTTAAAAAATATTCATTCCCTAAAAAGATATGTTGACTATCAATTTGATGGTAGTATTATGTAACAATTTAAACTTGATTAGAGAAACATATAGCTATATGGAAAATGTTCACAAATAAGTCAAACAACACAAAAACGAATAAAAATAAGTTATATGTTATGAATTGTAAAAAACATACAAAAGTACATTAACGAGAAAAGACTATTTAAAATGAAACAGGCAGTGACAGGCAGTTAAGAAATGGAGATGTATAGTTCATCTTTTGCAAAATAATTTTATTTAATGGTCCTGTTGCATTTACATATATAAATATATATATATATACACACACATATGTAGATATATACATGTACATATATACAAATATATAAAATACAGAGGATTCAGCCTATTAGGCATAATATATAGCAATGTATTGCTGTCTATTACATATGTAATGGAGTCGCCTGTGTTTACATTTGCTGTAACATTTCAATCCAGTGTTGAATGGTGTTGTGTCCACTGAGAACCCAGTCAGTCATCTGTTACATTTTTCATCGTTACAGCTGGAAGATAAACTCACCGCTGAGAAATTAGTAGAATGGACGAGCTCACAGAATAAGAGGACGACACATGTGGATTTGCACCTCCCTCGCTTTAAGGTGGAAGAGAGCTACAACCTGGAGGACGTGGTGGGCGCCCTGGGCGTGGTGGACGCCTTCAGTCCGCTGGACGCCGACTTCTCCGGCATGACAGGAGGCCGGGGGCTCTCGCTGTCCAAAATCCGGCACAAGTCCTTTGTGGAGGTGACGGAGGAGGGCACAGAGGCCGCAGCTGCTACCGGCATAGCAATGATAAAATATTCATCGCCAGTTTATGAAACGTTCCACTGCGACCATCCTTTCCTGTTCTTCATCAAGCACAACAAAACCAATAGCATCCTCTTCTTTGGCAGAGTTGCGTCCCCGTAGACCCGTCTGCACTGCTGCGACCTCGCAGGCAGCCCCCAGGTGCAGGGAACCGGGGCTCTGCGGGTTTCCTCTCCCACCTCCCCCGCATCACTGAGAATGGGATGCTTGAAACATAATCTCTCTCTCCCTCTCTCTCTCTCCACCCCCACCCCCGCCACAAATGGCATCTAAATGTATTTTTCCCCTGTGATAATTCCACCTTTGGGACCAGAAGGATATTTCAAGGCACTAGCTTCTAAATTTAAAATAGCATGTCTGCTATCGCAAAAATTATATCTGCTATTCAAATGTATTAACCTTACACCTATGTTTGTTTGAATGCAGGGGATACCTGGGACCCTTGCCTGATTAATCTTCTTTTATTTTATGAAATGCATTACCAATAAAATGATGACTTGTTTATATTATTTGTTGATTTTTCTTCATCAAAGATGAAAGTTAAGCCCCACAAACTGTCTCCTTGTATGAATCAGGGTCCCCAACCCCTGGCCACAGACCACTATGGGTCCCTGGCCTGCTAGGAACCTGCCAGTGAGCAAAGCTCGCCTGAGCTCCACCTACTGTCTCCACGTTGATGGTCGCCCCCCTCCACCCACCCCACCCCGGCCATTTCACAGTGAAGCTAGGGAAGCTCACCTGAGCTCCAGCTCCCCTGGCCATCTCCCATCTTCCACGAAACTGGCCCGCCTGTGGTGCAACAAAGGTTGGGGACCACTGGTACCAATGAAAGGACATACGTGAAAAGATACCACCCTCTTCGGGAAGACCCTCCATGTATAATCTCATCACTCCATCAGAAGGGGGCTCCATCAGAGCCATGCGTGCCTTGTACCCACAGCACATGCAGGGTCAGCCACTCTGTGACAAAGGACCGAATGTCCAGTCACTCCATTTAAGTCACCCAGGAGCCTCTCATTCCTTCTACAGGGACTCATTTCTATTTCTACTATAACAGACATAAAAATCCAAGAGCATATTTATCATCTGCCTCACTCTGGGTAGTGTAGTATAGGCCATTTAATAAACAATTATTCTGCACCTAATATGTACCATGCTGGTTTAGGCAGTAGGTTGTAGATGTGGAGAGGAAGGGAGGAAGGAAGGAAGGGAGGAAGGGAGGAAGACTCCTGAAGGCCAAACTAGGGAAACCAAATTCAGCACACAAGCAGGCCAGAATTCAGAAAAAAATGCCCTAATGTTGATGACCAAGACAGAGTTCAAGGTCTGGAACTGTAGTAGCAATATGAATGTAACATACGCATGTAAGCACCTAACGTCGGTCAGGAAATAGCTAGTGAGCAGTCAGAAAACTAGAACTCCACAAAACATAAGGATCCCATAAACCAGGGGTGTCTAACTCATTTTCACTGGGGGCCACATCAGCCTCGAGGTTGCCTTCAAAGGGCCGAAATAATTTTAGGACTGTATAAATATAACTACTCCTTAACTATTAAGGAGTTGAAATTACATTCAGCCCTTTGAAGGCTGATGTGGCCCCCAGTGAAAATGAGTTGGACACTTCTGCCATAAACCGTTTCTGAGGGAAACAGGGTATAAGAGGACTAAATGGTAATGGGGAAAAATACAATAAAGATTACATCAAAAATAAAAAAGTAAATGGGAAAAAACAAAGAGATAAAATGTGTATTTTATACAAGAAAAAAAAAAACCTCAGAAATTCAGGAAGACATTTTGCACCAGACCCAGAGACCAGGACTCACTAAGGTTCTGCATTCCCAAGTGGCTGTGGGTGCTCTTCCCAGAGGTCGGGCTGTCCCAGGGCGTAGAAACCCGGGGCCAGGCCCTCATCTTCCAGAGTCTCAACATCCGAGGCTGTTTGTTGTCTCTGTCCTGCTAATGATGGCCCTAATGGGTGGAAACCAGGAACACTCACGCTCCAAAATAGCACCTAAGATGATTCACATTTCATCTGAGATGAAGAATGCACTTGCTTCCTTTCTGAGAAGGAAGTTTTCACTGGTATTTCATGCCTAACAATAATTTTAAGAAAAGCAAAGCTTGCATTTTTTTTTTTTAGTACACTCTAAGTTCAATAGTGATTCAACAAAATTCACCTTTAGCTGAATTGCACATGACAAATGGAAGGTTGTCTGCATGTTCACCGCCCTGCAGTAGTGCTTATTCCAGGGGCTGCGCATCAGTGACCTTGAAGGCAATGCCAAGGCAGCTGCTGTGGAGGTCTGGGCTCCACATCCCAGGACTGACGAAGCCCGTCACAGCGCTGGTCTCGTTCTTCAAAGCATGTCCCAGATTGCACCAATGGTGGCACTGAGAAAGTCATTTTTGCCATCCCCAAACCACACCCTCCAAATATACATCTGCACAAATAAGGCAGTTAGGCCAGAGCTCAGAGGTCCTGGAATGTTCTGCTGATCCCCAGAGGAAGGCATGGAAAGGATGTTCATTTTAGAAGCAATTATTCTGCCCATGCCTCTTGCAGTGAAAGCTGTTGGGTGTGGCATTGAGATACAATTTGTTTGGAGAAGCAGAAGGCATAACAAATACAGGATCAAAAGTAAATATTTTCAAAACCCAGGGATTAGTCAGAGTGAGTTTAGTGAGTCAGAGCTTTTGAGCACCCTCGATGGGCCCGACAGACACGCTGTGCACACTCACTTCTAAATACTGGTGTGGAAATGTAAACCAAACAGTGAGGACAATGCCTCTCGCACCAGGAATCCACTAACAGTTTAGGACTGATGAAATAACAGCTCCGAGTCCAATATGGTGGCTAAGGACAGGATGGCCATGATTTGGTTTTTGTTAGAGGATGCTACTGTTGCTATTGGTGACGATGACAGTGGTAATGACCATGGCAGCAATATGATGGCAATGGCAAAGAAAATGGCAGCCAGCGTTTATCATATGCTGCTCCAGTTTCTTTAATAAATATGCATTCTATTTATCCTCACAACAGCTCAATAAAAAAAAAGAACTCTTATAAAGCCAATGTTTAACACAAAGAAACGGAAGCTCAGGAAGATTAAACTAACCAAGGCCATATATCTATTTCCAAAGCCCAGATTTATATTTGGTTTGTCCAACTCTAAAGTTGGCACACAGAAGGAACATTTAGAAATGGACAGGAATGAAATTTTTATGTTGTTGCTAAAGTAGTTGACCGTAATTCCCTCTGTATGTTTGGATTAATTATTTTCCATTATAATTAGATAGTGGACTATTTCAAGGAGTAGTCACCAATATAATGTCAGAAGTGATATTAGAGGTCATTTATACAATTTTCTTCATTTAAGCAATAAAAAACAAAATTCCAAAGAAATTAACTGCCATTCTTGAGATCACGGTTAGGTTAGGGCGGAGCTGGGACAGACACACTAGCTTCCCAACTGTACACCTGTCGCTCTTTACTTTGCTTCATTCCCCATACAGGTTGATACTTAATGTCACCTGTCATGTCGCCCCTCAGACACTGATCTGTTGTTGTCCAAGAGCACTGACCACACAGGCCTGGCGGTACCCATTCCCAGATGCACTTGCCCGGCCATCAGAAACAAGCCCAATACTGATGGCACTGAAGTTCATGTCTAACTGATTATGGGCATTAGAACATTTCCACTTTTATATTCCCCATCGACAACTGTCATTACATGCTGTCCCCATGTCCCCTCAATAAGTTGATGGTTAGAACGCTGTCTACAAGATGTGCAGAAACCTTAAACTAGTCAGGTTTTGGGACATTTGCATTTTCAGACTTCAGTCTAGATGCTGAGGATGCAAAGATAACCACAGTGAGCAGTGCAGACAGAAAGCAGATACAACAGAGTTAGAAGCATGAACGCGTCTCACCAAGCTCTCTGGGAGAGAACAGCTTTGGTCATGAGAATGGCTCTGTGTATCAGTATCTTTCCTCTTCTCTTTCACAAATACTAATAAGCAAGAAGAAGATGAGAAGGAGGAGGAGGAGAGGAGGAAGAGAGGAAGGAGAAAGAGAAGAAGAAAAATATCTCTGTAAATTCCCTTTTCAATAAAGTTAGAAGGCAGGTATAATTCATGGTCTTACAATTCATATAAAGGCTGTGTAGGGTTCAGAGCTGGTCATCCAAATATGAGCTTCTGTGGTGCATGGATTGTTACTAGCTACAGGCAGCTGTAACTGGGGGCTCTGGAGAAACTTCTGCCCTCCCTCAGCTGCCTGGGAGGATTTGAACTGGGGGCCTTGTCCATCATGGGATATCGTCAGAGATAACTTCTGTTCACCTGTCTGTAGGACAATTTTCTACTTACTAAGCATCTGCTTCTTATCACCCTGTATTGACCCTTTGAAGCCCCAACTCACTGTATGTAATCCCTAGCTCAGGATGTCTTAGAGTCCCATGGTCCCTCCCTGTCCTGAACCTGTCCTCTGTGTGGGCTCCCTAGCCCATGTACGCAGGGTTCCCACATGTGTATGTACTAAATTTGGTTATTCACCACTCTGTCTCAGGTCTATTTGATGATGAGCCCCACTGTGAGAACCTTGAGGGCAGAGGAAAGCTTGTCCCTCCCCAACAGCCGAGGCTGCACAGAAGGCCCTGAAGCCAGTAAGGAGAAAAGCAAAGGGGTTGACCAGAGAGAGCTCTGCAGCCACAGAGTTCAGAGGGTCTCAGCAAAAACACACTTCTCACAGGAATACAGAAAATGGCACAGTTTCTCTGGATATAATTGGCCTGGGGCTTGGGCACTCTGGGCCAGCACTGGGGAGCTCAGGAGCGTAGAGAACATGAGTCACCTGAGAATCACAAAGCCTTCCAGCTTCTACTGTGACGGAGAAAGCTGAAAGGAGTGTTAATTCCACGCTTACAGGGGGAAAAAAGAAAGAAAAATCTGGATACCACACAAATTCTTAAGCCCATCAGAAAGCTGTGGGTGCAAGGCCACCGCCCGGCCTGAAATCTAAGGAAAGACAACTGTCTCCAAGAAGAGACAGGACTCCAACACTCACTTGCCTGGAGCAGAACATAGGAGGAAGACAGGGCCCCAGACAAGTGCTGAAGGCCAAGTGTGGGTAGCTGCAGTGTATATAACCCCTAGGAGCCTGAGACATGGGAATTCAGACCCAAAGAGGTCCGTGGGTGTTCAAGAGAGCCACAATGGGCTGGCTGGTAAGGAAGCCCTTGGGCTCCCTCCCTTGGCACCTGTGGAGAAGTACAAACCAAGCAAAAAAGTCTTGACCAGACACAAGAACACTCCTCAGCCAAACCCAAACCCTAACCACAATAAAAGCTTCCTAGAGCTCCGAGGCCAGGCGCCCTGCCATGCTCTCCCCAGAAAGCCTCATTATGTAACTAATCAACCTCGTCCTCCCGCCTTGGTGCATGTGTGGTACCATCAGTCTATCCATTCCATCTCCACGGGATGACCACAACATCCCATTACAGGACATCGATATCTAATGCAATAAACACATGGCGTATCATAGAAGGTATCCTTGAAATCTATATCATCATATTAACCAATGTCACCCCAATAACTTTAATTCAAAAACAAAAACTCACTGTAAGTATAAGGACACACTTCGGTTAGAATGAAAGGACAGAAGAAGACATACCATACCAACACTAGTTGTACAAAAGCCTGAATGGCTATATTATTAGACAAATCAACTCTCAGGAAGGACCATATTCAGGGATGGGAAGACGTTGCCATAGAGATCAGTAGAGGAACAGAGGGTCCGGAGAGAGACCCACACATACACCTGCCACGAAGTCCCCAGGGCAATCAATTCATCGAGGGAAGAGCAGTCCTGTTTGACAAATGACACTGGAACAACTGGATGACCACATGAGAAAAATGAGCCCCCAAAACTCACTTAACAATATATTTTTTTAAAAAGTCATAGGTCTACATGTCAACATTAATGCCATAAGTGTTTGAGAAGAAAGACTTAGCAAGCTTGAGATATGCAAAAATTTTTCAAATAAGACAGAGAAAACACTGAAACCATAAAAGAAAAAATTAATGAATTAGACTCTGTTAAAATTTAAAACTGCTTAATGACACCAAAATTAAATTCATAAAGCTGACATAGAATATTTATTCAGAATACATCAAAAGCAATTACAATTCAATAATAAGAAAACAATTTCATAAAAACGGGCAAAAATACTGAATAGACACTTCAAAAAAGAAGGTGTGCACATGGACAGCACACACACGAAAACACTCTCAACACCACAGTCATAACGGAAACTCGGAAATTAAAGGCACAATGGAGGGCAACTTCGCATCCACTCGAATGGGTATAATGCAGAACAACAGCCACACCAGCCACTGGTGAGGATGCCGAGCAACTGGAATGTTCCTGGGTTGCTTGTAAGAGTGGAACAGGGCACAGCCATGTTGGAGAACATTTTGGCAGTTCCGCATAAATTTCACTGTATCACAGGACCCAGCAATTTAACTCCTAGGTTCCTACCCAAGAGAAATGAAAACGTGTCTACACAAAGATGTGCGCACACAAATATGCATCATAGCATTATGCATAGTAGTCAAACACTGGGAGCAACATAAATGCCCATCGATGGGTAAATGGATAAACAAAATGTGGCTTATCCATTCAATGGAATACTGTCTGTCTGTCAATAGGACGTAACGAACTACTGATATCCCAACAACATTGACGATCTCAGTGCTCAGCCAAAGAAGCTAGACACAAAAGAGATCATAGGATGTAAATGCATTCGAATACAACCCTGGAAATGACAGATCTGCCCTGTAGTTATTGAAGGCAGGTCAGTGGTTGTATGAGCTGGGGCCGTGTGAGGTAGTTGACAGGGAACAGAACAAGGGAACCTTGGGGGATGATGAAAATGTTCTGTATGTTGGGTGTGGTGGCATTTGCACACGTGTACACATTTATCAAAACTCATCAAGATCACCCTGGCCTGTGCGGCCCAGTTGGTTGGGTATCATCCCACAAACCAAAACATCAAAGATTCCGTTCCCGGTCAGGGCACTGCCCGGGGTGCAGCTCGATCCTCAGTCAGGGCGTGTGTGTGGAAGGAAACTCATTCTCAGGTCTACATTTTCCTCCCGCCTGTTCTCCCTCCCTTCTCCTCTGGAATCGGTATTTAAAAAGAAAAAAAAACTCATCAAGTTCTAGGACTAAAGTGAGTGCCTCTTATTCTATGTTCACACTGATTTCACATTATCAAGATGCTTATGCAACTGGCATTTAATAGTACGCTCTGTCAGAATAGAGGGTGGAAACACGGCATGCTCTCTGCCTGTTACATGGCTTCACTTTATTTTGGCTTTTGAGTTTTAATGTCCATTTTGCCGGTGTGTTTCTAAATTGTGTTTCTATGTGCAGTCTGCTATACTATTTGCTGCGAAACAAAAACAACACACAAATTGAGTAATTTTTTTTCACTTGTGTATTATCATTGGCCAAAACATTAGAACCGGAGGGACTCCCCAAATCACTATTCCATAGCCTTTACTGACAAGGCTATTTCTTTCATTTGTGCATAAAACTACAAGTCATTAATTTACTTTCAGAAGAAATCAACAGCATATTACAATGAGCCTGGATTTAACTCACTTCACACATAACACAAACAAAAGGACATTTCACTTAGAAATAAAATTATAAACATACACACACACTCAGTGCAAATATAAAGTCATCGATTTTGATGGTAATATTAGAATGCAAGCTAGAAAAGCAAAACTTTTTTTTTAAGTTTGGGCTACTTCCATAGTCGTACTGATACTCCCACACTGGTTTCCTGCCAAGTCGATGACCGGCCTAAGGAGAGGAAAATCGGCCAAAAAAGAGGACGCTGTTGGACTCGCTGTGTCTGATGAGGAACAGGAATGGGTGATTACAGTGGACAGTTTCATAGCTGGGCCCTGAGGAGACCCCGTAGCCCACCCCGGTGGCTGCTGTGGCCTCAGTCCCTTCCTCTGTCACCACCACAAAGGACCTGTGCAGGAACTTCTGGGCACTCAGCCCTGAGCGGGAGGACATTCCTGAATAGTCTGCCTTGTGCTCGTTGAAGGCCTCCCCCATCCCCAAGGCAGCCAGCGGCGTCTGCAGGTCGTAACTGTCTTCCAGTTTCAGCCGCGGGAGGCGCAGATCCACAGGCCTCTGCTCCATCTGCCCCGGCCTCGTCCACTCTTCTAACTCCTCGGGACTTATTTTGTCTATAATCTGTTAAGAAAAAGGTGGGGGAGAATGGCACAATGATCGATAAAAGTTTGAAAGAGTGTAACACAGATTTGCATCAGTCAGAAATCACGTATTTTAGTGACAAAAGCAGAAAGTTCATTTCACTAGACTTGTCTTTCTATAGCAGGCACTTGCTTTATAATTCTCTATTTCAATTAACTGGGCATATATGAAAGTCAACAGCATTTTGAGAATTTTTAAAGATAAAAATGTAACTTCTACTATATATTATTTCATAGTTTACTATTCCCCCAATGTCTTTGTATGCAATATATTATATATAATTTTTAAAGACAAAATGTTTGTATAAATATATACTAATAAAATCATAATTAATATATTTACATATAAAAATACATATTTTCATAGTTGCAATCACAGTGAACATCTATTTTCCTTATTATAATGTAAACTTTTTACACCACTGCAGATCTCTCCAAAATATCTCCAAACTGATAGGTATTTTCATCAAATTGATCAATTTTACCCAACATTAAGTATCTAGTACATATCACACATTATGATAGATGATAGATTCTATAGATACAAAAATAACTATCATGATGAATTTCAAACTACATGTCCTAGTATATTTAATGCAGAAATTACTAATTTGACTCAGACAGGTGATTTTTTTCTTCTGAATTATTTCCCTAGGATAATTCCCACAACTGGGGTTTTTGAGTCAGAGGAAGAATACTCTAAGTTTTTCTACACACTGCCAGTTTGCTGTCCTCCAGTATTTTCTGATGTATAATGAAGGCTCTTAGCTATGTTTTACAGCAACAAAACAGCATCCAGTATTATAATAACATACATCATAGGTGCTATATTATTATAATACTGATGCTGTCCGTGTGTGTTATAGAGTGTGGTGACTAGTCATTACAATGCCACTACACACTAAAACTGTGAAGCCCATTTCATAGATGGGAAAATATCGAGGTTCTAGGGCATTAGTTAGCTTCAAAGGACATAACGCTACTAAATGCTTTAACAGAAAAGTGGGTAGGACTAAATCAAGGGGTGCAAGGTTAAGGGTCCTATGGACTTTGTCTAATTGCTGGGTGTTGATGTAGGGTCATCGGGGTTTTAAATATGTATAACACTATCCTTTCCTGGTAAGTGATGTTGACTGTGGAGGGTGTGCTTCTGTGGGACACAGGTGAGTGGCAAATCTCTGCATCTTCTCAATTTTGTCATAAACGTAAAACTTTTTTTAAAAATTGAAGGTCTAAAAGTTTTCAGAAGGTCTGAATAGCATGCAAAATTTGCTGGGTATGTGCACATGAGGGTTTTTTTTTTTTTTTCTGGGAAAAATGGTACCTAGATAGTCAACCATTTCTCAGAATGCAGGGCGATCTTTACCACCCCCATCTGACCTTAAATGCTCATTTCAGTTCATTCCCAAATATCCTCGTGCTGGTTGTTCCCCCTAAACCTGACGTCATTTATGGCTCCTCATTAGACATCCTGCACAGAGTCCGACACGTTCCACTGGGCACTGCCAGACACCTGCTCCAAATCAGAAGCCCCCCATCCAGGCTCACCCAGAACAAGCTCTGAGACACAAAGGCTCCGAAAATGACAGTGAGAAGGGGAGACGCGAGGCCTTACCTTCTCCAGGCCGTCGATGTCATTGGGCAGCAGCACAAACAGGCTCAGGTCACTGTTCTTGTATGGAATGCCCAGAATCTTGGCCTGCAGGTCCTCCAGGAAAGTGAAGCTAAAGGTATGGCGCTGGGACATCATCAGCACTGGTTTACTTGTGTCCTGCAACAAGTTAGCAGAGCGCTGAATATCAAAAGCGGCCTAAGATGACCAGGCGCACTCACCAAAATCATGCGCTCAACCTAAACCATGCTAATGCTCAGAGCCTCCCACTCAGCATCTGCTGTCCGCCCTGTGCAGCGACTGACGTCTGCCGTCAGAATTTGCACTCTGTGCATAAGCACGTCCCAGGTATAAAGGACCATACCTTATCCAGCCAAAATTCCTCCTCCTTGGTATGTTCTTTCTTAAACTCCCTGTCCCATTGCCCTTTGAAATACACGGTGTTGACCACCACCAGCTTGCTGGAGCTGCTCAGAGCAGCATCTGGAAACAGGTCCTTGATTTTTTCTGCAAACAAACAAGTTGGCCCGTCTTGGAAATTATATGTGATATGCATGGTAGACACGACGTGGTTGGACTTCACTAGTCACCAAAGCCTCAGCCAGCTCAGCACCAGTAGGCCCCGCCCACAAAGGCTTCGCAGGATGGAATGTCCTCATGGCCCACTGCCCAGGTATCCCATGGGATGGCTTGGGGAGTGAAGGGTCAAGAGCTCAGGCTCTAAGATCAAATGGCCTCTGTGAGTGTCCGGTTTCACATCTAATCAGCTGAGGAACTTTGGGCAAGTTATTTAAGCTCTCCATGCCTCAGTTTCCACATCTGTGGAACAGGAATGAAACCTGCCCATAGGGCTGTCGAAAGGAGTAAATGATCTAATACGTGAACAGCACATAGATCCCTATCCGCCTCCCAATAAGCACTTAACAAAGGTTAGCGCTTATTATTTTTACCCACTTCATAGAGTTACTGCCTGAGATTTCCAGATTCTTATTTTATTGGAGAAGGAGCTCATGTTTTTGTCTCTAGATTCAGCCCATCTCGCACTAAATTCTAAAGAACACTGCCTTAAACTAGCTTTTTGGTAGACACTTTTTTCCTGCTTTTTCCCGTTTCATTTCCTTTGGACTAACTATGAATAAAAATGCATTCTGAAATAACAGATGTCTTCTGGATAACTAGAATAAAAAGTGTAATCCAAAACTCTAACACTGAAGTATCAGCTATCACCCTCACCCAGAGTGTATTTGCATATTACCTTTCCTCTCTGGTGTCTCTTGTGCGTTTGGCTCATAGGAGGGGAGGGGAGGGGAGGGGAGGGGAGGGGAGGGGGGGGGGGGAGGGGGGGGGGGGAGGGGAGGGGAGGGGAGGGGAGGGGAGGGGAGGGGAGGGGAGGGGAGGGGAGGGGAGGATGCACGGAGGGTTTGTCAAGTTCTCTGCTGTGGACGGGGCTGAAAGTTATCAATCCCACATGTTGCTCAAACAGAGATGAGCCCTAGGCAGCCCTGGCTGTAGGTAACAAAAGTAGGTCTTGATGGGAGAGCTGAATGATTCTCACTTGATAAGGAGAAAGGAAACCCTCTATGACATTTCCACTTAAGGACCCAGACTAAGAAGAAAGCATCTGACATAAAGAAAAGGATGCGAACCCAAGACAGACATGAGCCCAGTTTTAGGGGCCTCAAGATATTGTGGTCCACAACCATGGATAAATAATTCTCCACCAAGTGTTTCCATGTTCTTTCTAGGGCCTCCTCTCCAGTTCTCTCCACTATCTGCAGTGACTTCTCCCACTCCTCATGCCCAGGCTGCCTTTTCAACCCTGAAAAACCCTACCAAGTCCCCTCCCAGAGCTCATCCCCCGACACCCCACGCAGCGCCAAGCACAGGGCTTCACTCACAGTGGGAGCTCAAGAAGCATTTTTATGATGAACGACCCATCCATACTCTACCATGTGTTTGGCTTTCAACCCAGGAATTAATCTTCTTTCGACTTTCATCTGCTGCATTTATAAAGTCAACAGGTTCCAGAGAAGCATGGTAATATTTTTCAACGTAATCTAAGTATTTCTTTAGGAGAAACAGGGAAGGAATAGGAAGAGGTTGAATTTCAATTTATCCATTGCCAACATCTCTAAATAAGTTTAGCAGTACATCAAGATCACTAATGTGGTAAGAAGGGATTTTGAGGATCAGGGCAAATCATTCTGAGTGTTTCCATGCACATGTTGAGGCAAGTACAGTGGGGTTACGGCAAAAATCAGAATACAACTTCTAAGATTAAAAAGGAGCTCTCAAAGGGCCTGGCTGTCTGAAAAAACAGGCAGTGGGGACACCAAGGGGTCCAGGCCAAGCCAGGCAGTCCACATAGGCCACACGTCTCCAGGGCCCACAGTCCCAACAGGGCCATCGACCGCTCACAAATACCCCACCAAGGTGGTGGACACGGCAACACTTACTTGAAGGAAAAGGTATGTCTTTTCTCCAAACAACCTGTTGGCTATTTTCAGTTCATGATTATTAGTGAGTTTGTTTATTTCACTCAGAAACATTTGGAATTGGTGGTGTATCTCTTCTGTCTTCTCAATCTTCAAAATCAAAACAAAAACTCAGTGAGTTATGAGTTCAAAACTCAGCAAAAGCAAGCCTAGATTCTGCCCCAAGAGGACATGGCTGCTGGCTCTTCCCCTCAGCTTGGCAGCCTGGAGGATGGCCAGTGAGGTTGGTGCGGCCCTGATGCCAGGTGACTCGGACACAAATCAGATGATAATGTAAGTCACGAGCAATCCCAGCTCCACACAGGAGCCTGCTCCTCCGCTCACCAACACAGATCTGGTTTTCTAGTTCGGGTTGCATTTTTCGTTTCCAGTGTAATTGCTCACTAAGCGTTTTATATGCTTCCTTTTCGCTTCTCACAATACTAAGCACCTGAGAAAAACAGATGAATCCTTAGATGGCTTTTATCCAAGTTAAGTTTAGCAATATCTGTTCAAGACAGTGGATTTTTAAAAAGTGACTGGGGCAACTGTAATAGTATAATCAGTACAATAAAAAATACAAATTAAAAAAAAAAAGTGACTCCAGAATCTGCACAGACGCCAAGGGGGCGATCCTGAGTAGAAACCACAAACTTCTTTAATTAGACTACACGCACACGAGCCCAGAGAAAAATGCACCCGCAGAAAAGGCTAAGACATCTCTACTTGGTTTCAGGAAAGCATCCAAGAGGTTTGGGAAAAGGGGGGCTTAAGGAGTAAAATAACCATTCTGCCTCTAGACTTTTCCAGCCCACTGTTTTTCCCCTAGATCCTCTATGTGGGCTGAGCTGCCATCCAGCTTTCTGGCCTCTGAGTCGGTCAACCCTGCGATCCACTCTCCAGATTTTCTATCTTGCTGCTGGTATTTCTCCTGGTTAAAAAGTAGCAATTGCTGACAACCAAGGACCAGTACGATTTTGAATGGAATTTCTCTAACAGTTGCAATTGTTACTCAAGTCCCTTGTTGGCTCATTCCCCTAAATGTGTGGACAAACCCTAATTGCTTGCAGTTCCTCATTCCAAAACTGGACATGGAGGCCAGAATCAAGTTATATAATGGTGACTTTAAATGCAATAAAGTTTAAAATTTTTTAAAAAACAGACATCTCCAAAATCTCTAGTCAGACTGATTCTAAGAAGGGTTTCCTATATGGCTGAGTTTCCAAATGCCGAAGTGCCAAAGAATGAGGAAACATGACTCAATGAAAGGAACAAGTTAGATCAATTACCTAAGTGTACATCTCAAATTTCTAGAAATATACAACTGACCAAGACTGAATGATGGACAAAAGTGATCAGATATAACTAGTAAGAAGACTGAATCCATAATCAAAAACCTCTAATAAAGAAAATCCCAGAGCTAGATAGCTTCATTGGAGAATTTTACCAAATATTTAAAGTCTTCCAAAGATTTGAAGAGGAGGGATCACTGCAAAACTCATTCCATGTGACCAGCGTAACCATAACACCAAAACCAGACAAAAACATAAGAGGACAAAACTAGGTACCAATACTCAATAGATACTGATTCAAAAATCCTCAAAAAAATACTAGCAAATCAAATTCAACAGCACATTAAAAGGATTATACATCATAACCAAGTAGGTTGGTTTACAACTTAAATGCAAGGATGGTTTAACTTATTGAACTCAATCATTGTAATACAACACATTAACATTAAAAAATAAAACCCACATGATCATCTCAACTGATGTAGAAAAAGCATTTGACAAAATCCAACACTGTTTCCTGATGAAAGCACCCAACAAACTAGAAATAGAAGAAATCAACCTCAACATAGTGAAAGCCATGTACGTAAAGCCCACAGACAATATCACACTCAGTGGTGAAAGGAAAGCTTCTCTTCTAAGATCAGGCAAAGATGTTGACTCTCACCACTGCTGTTTGACATATTCAGCATAATACTGGAAGCCCTGCCCATAGAAACTAGTGAAGAAAATAAAATAAGAGAAAGACAATCAAGATGGCAGCATAGGAAGACATGGCTCATCTCTTTGTACAACCATATCAAAATTACAACTAAAATGTGGAACAACCATCGCTCAGAACCATCAGAAGTGAATTGAATGAAAGTCTGACAACTATTGAATTAAAGAAACCACATCCATCCAGATGTGGAACCGGCTGGTCCCTCACCCACATGTGGTGGATAAAAATTCAGGAGGCATATCTCGGGAGCAAGGAGTACCAGCCATAGATCAGGCTCCCCATCCCAGAATTCCAGTGCCAGAAAGGTAGTTCCCCACAACTTCTGGGTGCAAAAACCAACAGGGATTGGGTCAGTAGAAAAAACTACTTCTACTCCAAGCAGTTCCTCATAAAGGACCCACAAAGACTCACCTACTCAGACTCTCTCCCACTGAGCTCCATCACTAGGGTAGCAGCTTGAAAGGCAGCAGTGGCACACATGGAGAGACTGAAGTGTCTGGTATCAAGGTGAACAGAGGCCATTGTCCCTTTTCTAAACCCTCCCTCCACAGAGCCAGCAAGCTGGTGCCATATCTGAGACTCCACCAACCTGGCTAACACTGTTTGACCTGATTTGGAGACCCCCAGAGATTCTGCCTCATCCAACTTAGGATCCCACCCAAGCTGCTTTCCTATGTGAATGACTGGTCCTGGTGCTTGTTTCACAACTTCCTAAATCCTCTCAAACAAGCAACAGCTGGCCTCAGTGTGCACCACACCCAGCAGTGGCAGCAGCCAGGCTAGATTCACAGCTTGGCTTTGCCTAGGAATCTCCAAGCCCAGCATAAGTAGCAGCCATCTAAGATTCCTTTATAGCTTATGCAGGCTACCCCAGGAAAAACACAGATTGGGGCTGATCTTGGTCTGCACCACCTGGGCAACTCCAAGGCCAACATACCCACTAGACAGCCACAGACCACACTGGAGCACCACCACCCTGCTGCTGCACGGCTGATCCTCCACAGAGGGTGAGGTGGGTGGTAAGTGGTCCCAGCCAGTCCTTGCAGCTGACTGGCCTGGACAGATCCCTCCCATTGATCTGCCAACAGCAACCAAGGCTCATGTACAGGAGGAGGGTGTACTCAGCCCACATGAAGGGTGCACCTCGAGTACCCAGCTTGGGCGATAGGGGAGGCTGTGCCACTGGACCCTACACTAGACCACACCACCAAGACACAGAGTCAAAGCAGCGCTACCTAATACACAGAAACAAACACAGGGAGGCTGCCAAAACAAGGAGATAAAGAAACATGGCCCGAATGATAGAATAGATCAAAACTCCAGAAAAAGAGCTAAATGAAATGGAGATAAGCAATCTATCAGATGCAGAGTTCAAAACACTGGTTATAAGGATGTTCAAAGAACTTAGTGAGGACCTCACCTGCATAAAAAAGATCTAGTCAGAAACAAAGAATTCACATAAAACAGTAGAGTAGATGAAGGCAAGAATCAAATCAATGATTTGGAACACAAGGAAGCAAAAAACAACCAATCGGAACAAGAAGAAAAAAGAATCCAAAAAAATGAGGATAGTATAAGCAGCCTTTGGGACACCTTCCAGAGGTCCAACATTCACATGACAGAGGTGCCAGAAGAAGAAGAAAAAGAACAAGAAATTGGAAATCTATTTGAAAAAACAATGAAAGGAAAATTCCCTAATTTGGTGAAGGAAATAGACATGCAAGTCCAGGAAACACAGAGTCCCAAACAAGATGGATGCAAAGAGGCCCACTCCAAGACACATCATAATTAAAATGCGAAAGTTTAAAGAAAAAGAGAGAATTGTAAAAGCACCAAGAGAAAAGAAGTTAGTTACCTAGAGGGGAGTTCCCATAAGAAATCAGTTCCCTGTCAGCTGATTTCTGAAAAGAAACTTTGTAGACTAGAGGGGGTTGGCAAAAAATATTCAAAGTCATGGAAAGCAGGGACCTACAGCCAAGATTGCTCTACCCAGTAAAGCTATCATTTAGAATCAAAGGACAGATAAAGAGTGCCCAAGACAAGAAAAAACCAAAGGAGTTAATCCTCACCAGACCATTATTATATGAAATTTTAAAGGGACTTATTTAAGAAAAAGAAGATCAAAACTATGAACAACAAAATGGCAAAAAATACAAATCTATCAACAATTGAATCTAAAAACACAAACTAAGCAAACAAGAACAGAGGCAGAATCATGGATACAGAGAGCATTTTGATGATTGCCAGATGAGAGGCAGGCGGGGAAGACTATGTGAAGAGGTGAGGGGATTAAGAAGCACAAACAGGTAGTTGCATAATGGCCATGAGGATGTAAAGTACTGTATAGGAAATGGAGTAACCAAAGAACTTATACACAGGACCCATGGACATGAACAATAATGGGGGGATTGTCTGAGGGAGTGGGGGATTCTGGGTAGAGGAAGGCTCTGAAGGAAAAGTTTGGACAACTGTTATAGCATAATCAATTAAATATAATTTTAAAAAAGAGAGATGCAAATCAAAAATAAAAGAAGTAAAATAATGTCTATTCACAGATAACATGATCTTATATGTAAAAAGCCTTAGATTCCACAAAAAAATATGTTACTACTAATAAATTAATTCAGCAAAGTTGCAGGATACAAAATCCACATTCAAAACCAGTTACATCTCTATACATTAACAATGACCAATCCAAAGAAGAAAATAATCCCATTTACTAAAGTTTCAAAAAGGATAAAATACTTATGCATAACTTAACTAAGGAGGTGAAAGATTTGTACACTGAAAACTATTTAAAAATTGCTTTAAAAATTAAAGATATAAATAAATGGAAAGATATCCCATACTAATGATTGGAGGATGTCATATAGTTAAAATATTTATACTACCCAAAGTGATGTGTAGTCACAATGCAATCCCTATCAAAATCCCAATGGCATTTTTAAAGAAATAGGGAGAAAAAAATCCTAAAATTTATATGAAATCTCTAGGGACCCCAAGTAGCCAGAGCAATCTGGAAAATGAAGAACAAAGTTGGAGGTCTCACATTTCTTGATTTCAGTACATACTACAAAGCACTAATAAGCACAATGATGTGGTACTGGCCTAAAGAAAGCCATATGGACCAACAGAAATAATACATAGCCCAGAAATAAACCCTTACTTAAATGACCAGTTAATTTCCAACAAGGGTGCCAAGACCATACAATGAGAAGAAAACAATCTATTCAACAAAAGGTGCTTGGAAAATCTAATATCCACATGCAAAAGAATGAAGTTGGACCTTTACCTCACACCACATACGCACACACACAAAAAAAAATACTCAGAATAGGTTCAAGACCTAAAATAAGACCTACAACTATAAAACTATTTGAAGAAGGCAAGAGGAAAACTTTAGGAGACTGGGTTGGGTAATGATTTATTGAGTATGACATCAAAAGCACAGGCAACAATAGCAAAGATAAACAACTGGAATTATATCAAATTAAAAATCTGCCCATCAAAGGATACAGTCAACAGAGTGAAAAGACAAGCTGCATAATGAAGGAAAATACTTGCAAACCATAAATGTGATAAGGGGATAACATCCAAAATATATAAGGAACTTCTATAACTCAACAACAACAAAAATAACCCATGGGGAAAAATGGACTTGAATAAACAATGCTCCAAAGAAAACACACAAAGAGCCAACAGCATATGAAAAGGTGCCCAACATCACTAATCACAAGCATGCAAATCTCAAAACCACAATGAGATATCACCTCACACCCATTAGAATAGCCGCTATCAAAAGAACAAGGAATGACAAGTGTTTAATGAGGATGTAGAGAAGTTAGAACCCTTGTGCACAGTAGTGTGAATTTCAAATGATATGGCTGTTATAGAAAACAGTATGGAGGTTTCTCAAAATTTAAAAATAGAATTAACATATGGTCCAGCAAACATTTCTGGGAACATATCCAAAAGAATTCAAAGCAACATCTCAAAGGGATATTTGCACATCTACGTTAGTTGTAGTATCATTCACAACAGCCAAGGGCTGGAAGACACCCAAATGACCATCAACAAGTGAATGAATAAAGGAAATGTGGTCTATACATATCAATGAATATTATGCAGCCTTTGAAAAGAAGGAAATGCTGTTGCATGTGTCAACATAGATGAATCTCAATGACATTACGATAAACAAAACAAGCTAGTCACACACATACACACACACACAATAACAAATGGTGTAAGCTTCCACTCATGAAGTATCTAAAGTAACCACAATTATAGAAACAGAAATTATCAATCAATCACCAGACCCAGGCAGTCTTACATCCACATATTCTGCACATTCTGAGCAGAATATTAGGTGTGTTTCTGAATTTATATAAACTCTTCCAAAGAATAAAAAAAAGGAAGCATTTCCCACCATCGTCTAGTGATACCTTGATAACAAAACTAGGAAAGGACAAGACAAAGCACAATGTCACAGACTGATCACGTTTAAAACATAAATTTTTAAAAACCACTTAACAAAATATAACCCAATCCAATTCAATAAGGTATACATGTTTTTTAAAAATCATAATCTAGTTGATTATCCCACAAATGCAAAACTGGCTTAATGTTAGAAACTCTTAATGTAATTCACTCTGTTAATAGAGGAAAAAAGCATTGATCATCAATAGATACAGAAAAATATATATGTATGTCTATCACTATAAAAGGATGGATGGATGGATGAAGATGGATGGATGATAATGGATGGCTGGGGATTATAAGGCCGGTGAGATCTCCAGTCCCACTGTCCCTGTACAACCGTATGAAATGGGTCTGTATCCACTGCTGAGAGGAAAAGATGTTGGTATCATCCTCTCATCAAATGTTGAGGTGATATTTAATAAAGTGGGACATGCCTACACCCTACCTCCCAGAGGTATACTATAGACCAGCGCTGTCTCACAGAAATAAAACACGAGCCACAAACAGGAGCAACATATACTATCTTAAAATTTCTAGTATCTAGGGTCTTTTTTTTCTCTCAAAAAAAGTGCTCTCAAACAACTATGCTCATTGACTGGGGGACAGCAAAACCCTATCTGACCCAACTCTGCTGACAAAACCTGGAAGGAAGCCTAACTCTCCATGTGCGCATCTGAGGACCCCAGAGAACCTGGCCGAGTGGCCAGGTGACTTGACCCCTGGCTTTGTGAGGGTCTGGGACTGGGCTGTGATGATGGTCAGGGCTGATGTGACCTTCCTGAGAGCTCTGACCACCTCCGAATGCCAGCCCCGACCTATGAACTTAACCTCTCCCCCATGGGTGCACATTCTGTCCTTTGAATAACAAATGTATCAGCCCCAGAGTTGGAAGAGACCCCAGGAAGTCATTAGTCCTATGCTAATAAAAAAAATACGAAAAAAACATCAGAGCAGAGGTGAGGTTCTTAAAAATACAATGTAGCAACACTACCATTTACTATTACCACCACTGCCACTGGGTAAGTCACCAGCATGTTGTACACACTGCTGGACACTTTCCAAAGGCCCAGAGAAGATGAATAACTTGCCCAAAGCAGCACAGCTGTTAACTCACTGGGCCAGGATTCAAACCCCCAATCGGTTTAACTCCAAACCCATCCACTCGGCTGTGGGGACTTTTCAGTCTGTTAGCCTTTCCAGCATCCATCACAATGGTTAGCGTGAATTGAAGTTAAGGTCTCTTCTTAATACTCAGGGTTTCTTATCATTGCACAACCCTAGTAACATTATGTTACTGGTATGATTATTACTGCTTAAAATTGAGTATTACCTCTCCCACACATTTCCCCAGGGAGCCCACATCTACAAAGCGACCTTAGTGAAGGTGACCAGACATGTCTCCCACCTCTTTTTCTCCAGCTTCGATTCTTGAGCTTTCTGTGTCTTGTTCAGAGAAAAGCACCTGGAAGGGACAGAAAATATGATGACGGGGGCAGTCAGAGCAGAGAAAACCTCACACGGCATCAATCAGGGGGAAGTGGACGTTTGCTAAAGACGCCTCAGGGGCACACAGGTCACATCTGTCTCCTTACGAAATCATAAAAAGCTCTGGCTGTCTTCAGAGGAGCCTCGTTGGCTGGGCCGTGCCTGTATTCATCTTTGATGTATCGTTTTACCCTCCCAGGGATTATGCAACTTGTCCCAGTAGGTATGGTTCTTCACGCTCTGTCTTTAATTATGAGGTTGACGGCTTCAGACAGGGCCGCACACCCAGCCCTCACCCAAAGGAATCTCAGGCACCAGGGAGCGGACAGCATGGTGGAACTCGAGCAGACAGCATGGTGGAACGCGGCGAGGGAAGAGGGCTCTACCGACAGACCTGAAACTGCCCCACGTTCGCACGCTTCCTTCGTCTCCTGGCCCACAGGCCAAGAGGAGCATATTTTCAAATAAACTCGAGAAGGCCATCCGAGAAGAGGCCGTGTTTACAAGGTTGGCAGCCCACCCTACTCACCTTCCGCAGCTGGGCAGCAGTGGCCCCACGGGCCCCCAGGAGCAGCATGCCGATGGCCGTGGAGATGCTCGCCGGGGAGAAGAAGACGTTGCCCTTGTTCACTCTGCTCAGCTCTTTGAAAAGATCAAGCCCAAACCGAGCCGTCGCTGCACCTAGTGACTTCATGACGATTCCAGCGAGATCCCCAACAGCAGCAACAATCCAAACTCATACAAAATAATACTGGATGTGAAACTGTAATTGAAGGATAGCATTAGAAAGAAAGGAAGGAAGAAAGAAAGAAAGAAAGAAAGAAAGAAAGAAAGAAAGAAAGAAAGGAAGGAAGGAAGGAAGGAAGGAAGGAAGGAAGGAAGGAAGGAAGGAAGGAAGGAAGGAAGGAAGGAAGGAAGGAAGGAAGGAAGGAAGGAAGGAAAGAAAGAAAGAAAGAAAGAAAGAAAGAAAGAAAGAAAGAAAGAAAGAAAGAAAGAAAGAAAGAAGGGAGGGAGGGAGGGAGGAGGGAGGGAGGGAGGGAGGGAGGGAGGGAGGGAGGGAGGGAGGGAGGAAGGAAAAAAGGAAGGAAGGAAGGAAGGAAGGGGGGAGGGAGGGAGGGAGGGAGGGAGGGAAATGAATGAGCACTTTTCACTTGTCTGAATTGCTTTAGGTCCAGGGACCTTTCCTCCTCCTCCCCCTCTTCCTGCACTGGTTCAGAAAAGAGGGGTTTCAGACTATTTCAGCAAACAAATCAAGTTCAGACACTGACCTAGGCCTGGATTTGAGCTGCAGAATTCTCAGAGAGTGTTTCAGATGACACCTCTGCTGACCACGAGAGTGACCACAAACCGTTTGGGAGGTGTGGGTTGTGTTGACCGCATTGGTCACCAGTGATTTCAAGGGTGCACACCTACCTCCAAACTCAGTTGTGTACACTAAATAGGTAAGCTTCGTACGTGTCAATCATACCTCAGTAAAGTGTTTTTTTTGAAAAACAAAACAAGAGGGGTTTCCACCCTCTGGGGGAAAGGTCCCGCAGCCTGCTTCTCCCTGCTTCACTTGGCCTTGACCATCACTTGGCCAGAGCCGAGCATCAGCCTGGTGCCACCCAGCACTCCTCAGCTCTCCTGTTCCTGAGGGGCAAGGTCACTGCCTTACATAGTTTTCTTCCCCTGTTTGCTCTCAGAACCTGCCCGCTCCTGCCTGCCCACCGCCCCCTCCCTGAGTCACACTCCCCAGGCAGGCACAGGGCTTGCCCTCCACCTTCGCCTTGTCCAGGTGCTGGACCTGCTGCCAGGCAAGGGGAAGGTGGAGGGCGCCGCCAAGAGTGCCTGCCGCTCTGATACTTTCAATGGACTCGAAATGCAGAGGGTGGTTGAGTAAATTCCTCCTCTGAGATCCCGACCCGGACCACGCGAACACTTGCCCCTGGGGCTCGTTTTTCCTAAACGTGATGCATCTGTAGCCACAGATTAGTAACTAGAGTGAAAGGGCTTCCTTTTTTTTTTTAAATGATTGTCTGTATTGTTTCAAGTTTGTACAGGGAGTTCACCTTACTTTTGTTATCGCATCAAAAACGAAATTTAAGAACAATGAATAGTTACCGAAAATAAACAAAACATATTTTCTATTTTCCTCATCTCTAAATAGATATGTTATAATTAGCTGATAAAGTCTTTAAGAAAAAGTTTTAAAACAAGGATGAGATTAAGGCAGAATAAATTTTTTGACAGCCTACATACTTTAGGGGATCTTTTCAATCAAGGGCCCACCCCCACTAAGGCATCCGACAGCTGCTGTTAAAACTTCCATTTTCCCCTGGGTTTCCTGGCACGGATTCCTTGCAGGTTAACTCAGAAATACAATGAATCAACTTACTGTCAAACAACATGAAGAAGACACAATATCATGGCTGTATAGACACTGAATTAAATGACACCACCCCCAAGGAAATTTATGCCCAATAGAAGTTCTTCTTCCAAACGAGCATTCTCAAAACACAAAATGTCTTCGGTTGGAGCGGAAGACGGAACATACCTGGCTCTTGGACAGATGGAGGTAGCTGAGTGTGGACCTAGGAAGCATGTGTAAAATGAGTAATTGAGCTCTTTAATTTATCTCTGGCTCCCTGCCTCTCCCTAGTCATTATCATTTTTGCATTTCCAGTGAAACAACCTTTGGTTTCTCAATGATGATGTCCCTCACAAATCCCTCATGAAAGTTTTACTATAGAATTAAGAATGGAATTTCCTCTTTCATTCATACGTGGCCATGAAGGTATGCCCTCGAAGTTGTCGGCAATTGTATGGGGAGCTGTAGTATACCCATTATACACATTAGACTGAGTATACACATTACAACACATCAAACAGTATACACATTAGACAGAGAGGAAGAGTTGCAACTTCTAACTCCCCCAAATCCCTTAGAAATTCTTTTGGGGATCCAAGTATAAAGAAATCTAAATTAACCAAAGCACAAAATAAGACTAAAAGCAGCAGCTCAATTCAGGACCACCAGCAACAATAGAATGGCCAAGTTGTTATATTATGCTGTGTATACAAAAAATTTTTGCCCAAATTTTTCAGGGAAAAATAAGGATAAGCATTATACATGGGTAGTACTGATTCCATATCTATATAAATGTTCTTAATTTTTTTATTTATGCTTATGCATTAAAAGTGTAGCTCTGGAAAGCACTAACAATATCTATATGCAAATAATAACCTAGAATATGATCATCGATTTTGTTTCTAAATATAAATAAATAATTGAATTAAAAATTTTAAATGGAAGATTTTTTTTCCCTGAAAGCTTGAGCTAAAAAACGTGCGCGTGCATTATACACAGCAAAATAAGGTGAATAAGGTAGACCCAGGTTGGAGGGAGACCTCAAAAGGTCCTTCGACTGTAATGCTATCTCCTCCTCTGAGGAGAACAGGTTCTCCACCTTAGGTGCACATTAAAGTTTCCCGGGGAACTTTAAAAAAGAAAGAAAAATGCCCACTCCCCTCCCACACAAAACTGAGTCAGAGTCTCTGGGATGGGAACCTGCCATCAGAAGTTTTAGCAGCCCAGGTTTGGAGCCACTGGTTCACGGCCACGTGAAGCTCTCAATGCATACTTACCACAGATGTACAGAGCCACGTCCGGACAAGCCCAGTCTCTGTAATGATGTTACCTCTGCACTTATATTATGTAGGGGATGCCAAGCCCAAAGAAGGAAATGAAAGAAAACTACTTGCTAGAAAAGTGGTGAGGAAAAGTCATGAGGAAAGTTGGAGCGGGCAGCTACACACACACACACACACACACACACACACACACACACACCCCAGCTCTGGTTCTCAAGCAGCCTGTCCATTAATTATGAAATATCCCATTTTAATTCACTGAGTAACAATGAGAGTCTTCCATGTACTAGACATTGCGCTAAGCATCAGTGATTCGTAAACATCCAACCAGCTCACTGATTTCAGGAAAACACTACTAAAAAAAAACCTCAACAGGAAGTTCCACCTCCCCGTTCTAGTTTTTCCTGGCAACCTTAAGGCGCCCCTACAGGCTCTGCTAGCTCATTAAAAGAAGCAGCACTTGGACGCAGGCATAGAGGTTCATCTTTGCTGCCAACCACCGAATCCTAGACGAACATCTCTGCTCTTCCCTCTGAATGCCTGCCTAAGGAAGCAGCGCAGCCTGGTGATGCAGCTTCCAAGGGCTGACTAGTGTCCATATCGATCTCAATACACACAGTTTGCTTTTGAAGCATTTGAAAAATGAAGAAGCATTTGAAAAATGAATACTTTTTCATTTTTTGAAAAAATGAAGAAGTATTTTAATCTCTGTTCTTTAAGCAAACTCACAACAGTATTAATTACTTCTGCTTTCTGTCACGGAAATATACAAACTGAGGAGGGTTTGGAAAGAATTAGCATTGAGGTATGGAGGTATGCTGATGAAATTAAAAAACTATCAAGCAAAAACTCATAGACACAGACAACAGTGTGGAGGTGACCAGAGGGATGGGGATGGGGGAGTAAAGGGTAAGGGGGGTCGAATATATAGTGACTGAAGAAGATTTGACTCTGGGTGGTGGGCACACAATGCAATATACAGATCAGGTATCACAGAAATCTACACTTGAAACCTATGTAATTTTTTAAATCAATGCTTCCCAATAAATAAATTGTTTTTTAAAGGAAGGAGATGGCATGAAATCCTTGCACTGGCAGTAATGCTCTATGTTTTAATATCCCTATCAGCTTGCCTTCTAATTCCTGTCTCCAGAACCCTAGACTCCCTGTTCCAGTGCCCAGTTATGTTCATATGCCCTCATCTTCTGTCTAAAGCATTTTCTCTCCCACTGACTTTTCCAGGGACACCTGACACCACCACCTCCCACCGTCTCCACTGGGGACAGCCACTCAGATCTTGAGATCAGGAAGCAATGTATCCATTTGAAGTTTTTCTCCTGCTCTTGTTTCTCCCAAGCCATTCTTCCTTCAGTCACTTCCAATGTCCCCTTTGCTGGTTTACAACATCTCATGGTGCCACCCTTCCCCCAATCACAGTCCCCCACCCCGAACTTGGCACGTGGTCTTCCTATCCCCCTAACCACAGCCACCCCCCTGGACATCTTCACAGCCCAGGTCAGTGGCATCTCCCCATTCCCCGACCCTCACCCCTCTCCTCTAGGGGCCCACATATATGACCATGCTCTGGAGGTCACCATCACTGGGGACAGCTGCTGCTGGGGCAGTCTGCTGGACAGCAGAATGTCCCCATCTGCTTACAGATTTCTCATGCTCGTTCTTTCTAAGGCTAATTTTCCAAGGTCATCACAACCTCCGATCACTGGACCCCTCCTCCTCCTTCTTTTTCCCCTTTTTCTATTTAATCTGTGTCCTTCTGGTATTAAAACTGTCCCGAGGGTAGAAAACATGTTAATGATTAGAAACGATAAAAATAGTTTCTGTGCCTATGAGTGAGGACAGGAAATAATGAAGCTCAATCAGAGCACCAAGGAATTCCCCACTGCATCCCATGTTTGGTACAACTTCTGCGTGTCTGTTACTGACACCAGCTTGTAACATTTTTCATCTGCAAACCTATAATGTTGTAGTGGATGCTGCTGGGGTCCCACCCAGAGACCCTTAACCAAAGTGTTTCTATCATCCAGTGACTGATTTGATTGATAACTCACAGCTGTCCTCTCTCTGTGAAATGAGTCTCAGCCAAGTGGGAACCACCCACCAGG